AAGGGTCGGGCCATAAGGGCTAGGCTCGCTCGTTTTCCAACTCTACGTGCAAGCATATTATATCATAAAAAAAAAAAAGCTGGATTGGAGTAATAATTCACATTTCTCTTTATTTTTCACTTTTGTTATGTCTTAGCAATGCTTCTTTTGTTTAACTCTTAAATATTGATGCTTATCTTGGTTAGAATAAACGTCAAGGTGATAACTTGATCCATTATGTTTCCATTGGTCTTTAACTTGCATGTGTTTCTATTTGACACTGTTAGAGTGTGTGTTGGTTTGAAACCTTGAATTATGTATCAGCGTTCAATCACAGCAACCCAAAGTGACAGTTTAATTATTTTATATATTCCTCTTAAAGCGAATGCAAGTATCCTGTTATATGCTGTTGTATTTATTATGTTTGATGTATATTTCATTTGCCTTTTATCATGGAAGTTTTTCCTAATAAATTTGGTTGCCTTCTTAATTTTCATTTTTCTCTGATGCAGCTTTCATTCCAAATTTTGGACCAACCAAATGCAAGGAACATTGAACTCAAAGAATAAGTGTGGTGCTGCATTTCGACGCAAGGACTTCAAAGCCACAATTGATAGCTACACGCAGGTTTGAACGATTAATGCCTTGCGAGTTGTTAATTTCCAAGGACAAAAGAAATTGATTTTTGTCCTCTTCGTGATTGGTGGATAAGATTACACCACCTCAACAGTGAATTCTTACAAATATTTGTTAAAATACAAAATAAGAAAATTACTTTCTTCTTGCTTTATGTGGAATAAAACATTTACATCATTCTTCATTACTGTTAGCTTGTAGTTGTTGGAGAAGAAAAATCACAGTTTATATATTTTAGCTAATGTTCATCTTGCTGGAAAAGAAAAAGTATAGTAGTTAAGCAAGTCTATGAATATTTTCTCCTTTTCAGTTGTTATAAAACTAACAGATTATTGGAAATATTAAAAAAATGTGAATTTTAATATCAATGAAAGTTAAGACTAAAGAGGTAGGTTCATGAAAAGATAACAACCAATCTGTGGATTGTATTAGGGTAATTGGATTACATTAAAGTAGCATCCACTAGATATAAGAGCAACTGCCTTTTGTAGCAAATGCTTCGATAGTTGTAATATCCTGAAAAACTAATAGGGATTTTATTAGGTAAAAAATATAAATTAGAATAATTAAGTTCATTAATGTGTTGTGTGGTCAGAGAGGTCTAAAAGTGTGTTTGATTGTGATTTCAACCCTAAATATGGGTCTAAAGTGAAGTTGGGCCATCTGAACATTAAAATGTGAGAAAGAACTGAAGAAGGATCTTCTGTGCCACATGCCGCGGTGTGAAAGATATCTGTCATGGCTCATGAAGGCAACCAATGAAAGGTTGGCCTCTCTGTGCCATATACCATGGCGCATAGTTAAATTTTTACTTAAACTAATAGTGCTCTATTCAAAAAATCAGAAGAGAAGAAAAGGGGAAAACGAGAGTATGTTACTTGCTTTGCTAGGGCACGAATTTGGGAACCATTGGAGACATTTTGAAGCTCAAGGTAAGTGCATTATGTTTCTCTCTTTCCTTTCCTTCCAAGTTTCTTGAAAGATAAATTTAAGGTTTGAGTGAGGAGAGTGATTGCTAGTCTATATGAGTTATGGGTCGAAACTCATTGGCTAAAATAGATGTAATGAGACTTTTTTAAAGTATTTAAACCCCACATTAATGGTTTTGAGAGTTTTTGGTTGTTGAGGGCCATTAATGGCCGAAAATTGGCATTTATTAGGAGAGTGGGGAGTGTTTAATGGCTATTAATGCTGATTAATGGCTTATTTATGATAATGTGGGCTATTGATACATAATAAACCTAATGGGTATGATGAGAAGTGGAGATTATGCTATTGTGTGAGTTGAAGGGATGAGTTAGTGTTGAAAATTATTCAAATTGGAGTATTAATGGATACCCTTGTGAATTAATCATAGATTAACTACTTTGGTTTCATTCAAGCCATTTGAAAAGCTTTAAAAGTTGTGTTTGGAGGGGTTAATCTTTGATTTCTTAAAGGTTTGAAGTAACTGAGAAAAAATTTAATTTGTATAGTTGTTTATAACTAATTGTTTGTTGAATTAAATGTTTGAAACTTGTTTGGTTTTTTAATACCCATTGATGCAAATTTAGCAAGGTTTGAAGTTGCGTCGAATTGTTAAAAATAATATGTATGTTTATACATGTGTGATTTATGTTGATGATGGAGTGTATGTTATAATGTGATTTTGGTATGTAGAGTATAGTGGAGAGAAAAAATCATTTGGATATGATATGTTGTAATTAATATGTGTTGAATGGCATACACCTTATTACTATTTGCAAAGCATAATCATTGGCGGGAGTTTCACCCAGGAAGAGGAGTATATTTGGTAAATCCAAGTGGTATTCGTAGGTTATTGTTGGAATTAGAAGCTTGCCCTAGCATCGACCGTTAAAGTCGAGAGGTAGTCATTGTCTCATAGTTGATTCGGGACTGTCTCACTTATTCTTTGAGGGACTAAAACCTAACTGGTCTCCACCGCTTTATGAGAAGGCTAAATTAGAGGTATGACACCCTATAGTTGTTAGTATTGAAGGAAACTGGAGTACATAAGTGAGTTAACCTTGACCTAGTAGCTCTTCATAAGTAGAATGCTAGGTTAGTCTGAGTTACAAGCGTAGCCTCTGATAGCCACCGGTTTCATGTCGAAGGTAATAGGAGGGCATAAGTTTGGCATTGATCATGCATTCTATTCCCAACTATATGATTGTTAATATTGTGGTCCGATGTGTCTTTTGAGGGGCACGTGGTTGTTATTTTTATAACCCCAAGATTTGTATAATTGAGATATATTTGATAATATGTATTGTGCACTTGGTCACATAGTTGTTATTTTTATGGCTAAGGCTATATTTGATATATGTGCATATAATGATTGTTCATTTGCATCCTAAATTAATTGATATACAATTGTATAGACTGGGTTAACCTTGATTATTGAGTGGTTATACTTACCCCATTCTTAAATATTATAGGGCCTAACTCATCAGATCAGGATCAAGGAAAATGACAAGAGGCCTATGACCGAGTGTAAATTATCTAGATTTACTTCTATGTGTATTTTGATAGTTAATTTGCCAACTAAAATTTTATTCCATTGATTTTGAACTACTTGCATTATAATTGACAGCATTGTGTGTATTTCATGCTTTGAGCTGTTAATATGTGATTGTAAAGTTTAAATAAGATCAAAATACCAGTGCAACTAAGGTAAGGTGTATTTTGTTTTCATAGGATGAATATTTGATGAACTATACAAAAGATGACTTCCTTTTGTATTTTTGTAGTTTGAGGGGTTGAGCGTTGAATTTATAATACATGTCTATTGGAATGAGTATGGTGCATTGCATAAGTCCTAAATGGTCTTTTAAGTGTGGTCTAAAGGTTGGCGTAAACTTTTGGCACTTGTTGTGTGGCTTGGGCACCCTAGTTGTGAGTTTTAATGAAAAATGAGTGTAAATTGAAAAGGGTGTCTAACTGTTGATAGAAAAATAATTTAGTTGTGAAACTTGTGCCATTAGCTAAAATTAGGAAAAAGCTCTTTGTAGACACCTAGATCACCTCAATCGAATGTCAAACGGAGATTTGGAAAGCATTGAAAGTTCATCCCCTGTGCTGTCAATTTGACAACATTACTGTCAAAAATCGTGCATGGCACAAAGACTACATGCCTCGACACACTTGCAATAAGTTGTGGTGCATGTGTTGTGTTGGCAAAAAATGAATTCATTTCTTTGCAAATGCATCAACCTATTTTGGAATCCCATGCTTCTGCACACGATTTAAACTCTAATTTGTCAATGTTAAATGTGTATGAGAGTGTTTTGGAACTATAAGAAATTGGGATCCTCATTTGTGATATTTTTCAAACTTGATAATAACCGTGGATTTTAGGAGTTTAAGGTGAATTAGTAAGGGTAACCCTACTTATCTAACTCAGAGTTTATAGTGATTATGTAATGCAGTTCATTGAAGTTGGAACTATGGTTTCTCCAATAGTTATGCCCGTCGAAGTCTATCTTATCTCATGAATTATATGCCAGAGGAAGTACCTGATGATGCATTGCAGGCACAAGCAATATTCCCTCCTCTGGTACATTGCATTACATTTACAAGCTGTTGCACTTTTTGCACTTGGCTGGGAGAATGAGGCCCACGTGGCACTCAATGGGGGTTCTGCACTTCATAATAGAAAGAACACAAATTACTTGCGGTCATTAGCCAAATTTTGTTTACCTGTTCCAGAATATAACTTACATAGACCAACACCCTGGTGTCTAATGTATGGGAAACTCAATCTGGGACTTTCATTCCTCGTTTGATCATTGTGTTGCATAGATAGAGATTGGTCTACTGTTCCTCCTTAATAACTGGTTCATTTGTTGCCAAGAAGCATTCTTTTGCAAAGCCAAATCACCGCAGAAACGTACAATATTTTAGAGTGCCCATCGCAGTTTAGTTGCCTATTCTAGTACAAAGATCTTGAAAGGTTCAGGGGAAAACTTGCAGTAGAAATTGTGCTTTTGTAAAGGATTCATCTGTAAAGTCCTGCATTTATTGGCTGATAGTAAATGCTTTGTATGTGATTGTAATTTATGTTCAAAGCAACTGGTTATGACTGCCCACAGGCTATTCTTGTATTCTTTGGTTTTACATCTAACAAATTATTTTAATATTCATCCTCTTGTTTTTCATCTGATCTTTATGTAACATTTGAATTTGTCAAAGGAAAACATTTGTAATCAATTCCCTAGTCATTGATCAATGGTTGAATTTCGCATGCCATAGCTGATTATTAATGAATATTCAGTAATCAGATCGCAGTCCCAGGCAGAGACGTACGAATCTTGATGAAAATTCTGACCACAATTTGATCATATGCTGAGATTTTAAACAAGTGAAGTAGTCAAAAGGACCTGGAATGGATTGGAAAAGCCATGTAACATTGATAAGTTCCGATAAGCAAATGATGTTTAAACAAGGAGACATTAACAATAACCACAACGTGGCAGAATCAAAATCAAACCCAGACTAGTCTAGAAACCAAATACTTCTTAAGAAAATTTAACATAAAATAGAAATTATTCCCAGCTCATGAATTGGAGATTCCCAGAACTGAAAAGGGCAAACGGTGTTAAAAGCCCATTCCTTCCCACAAAAACACAGTATGCTACGAATGCGAACCACTTTGAAAGCACAGAACACACAAACCAAGCACGAAACACCTCCCTCACCATATATATATATAAATATAAATATACACAATTAATTATGGTCCCACAGGGATCTTCATCTTGTGCTCTTAGTCATGCATAGGCTCCTCATCGTCTTCAACCTCTTCTTCAAGGCCAGCTGCATCCTGATACTGTTGATACTCTGCAACCAAGTCATTCATATTACTCTCAGCCTCTGTAAACTCCATCTCATCCATGCCCTCTCCAGTGTACCAATGCAAGAAAGCCTTTCTCTTGAACATCACTGTGAATTGCTCTGAAACACGCCTAAACATCTCTTGGATTGATGTCGAGTTCCCCATGAACGTGGAGGAGATGGACAGCCCAGTTGGCGGAATATCACAAACACTAGATTTTACATTGTTTGGTATCCATTCCACGAAGTACGATGAGTTCTTGTTTTGAACATTGATCATTTGTTCATCCACTTCCTTAGTGCTCATTTTACCTCGGAACATAGCCGAGGCTGTCAGATACCTACCATGTCGTGGGTCTGCTGCACACATCATGTTTCTAGCATCCCACATTTGTTGAGTAAGCTCAGGAATTGTGAGGGCTCTATACTCTCTGGAACCACGAGATGTTAATGGTGCAAAACCAACCATGAAGAAGTGAAGGCGTGGAAAAGGGATGAGATTAACAGCCAGCTTTCGGAGATCAGAGTTGAGTTGGCCCGGAAAGCGGAGGCAACATGTTACTCCACTCATTGTTGTTGAGATCAGATGGTTGAGATCACCAACTACGACAGAAACATGCTAATTAGCAGGCACACTTAATTATCTAGTGAACAAGAGCACAAGACTTTACTAAACATCCTTAGTCATATAGTGGTGAGTTCTAAAAGATGTCCTCTTGTTCAGTTTTTATTTGCATTAGTTTTGTCCTTAACAAAGGTCTATGTTGTGCGATGCCAGAAAAGTCAAGGTAGGAAGAAGGAGGAGACTTACAACTTGGGTTAGTGAGCTTGAGGGTCCTGAAGCAGATATCATAAAGAGCCTCATTGTCAAGGACCATGCATTCATCTGCATTTTCAACAAGTTGATGAACAGAAAGGGTGGCATTATAGGGTTCCACAACGGTGTCAGAGACTTTAGGAGATGGGAAGACTGAGAAAGTCATCATCATCCTATCAGGATACTCTTCTCTGATTTTTGATATCAGCAGGGTCCCCATTCCTGACCCTGTTCCGCCTCCCAGTGAATGACAAACTTGGAAACCTGTGAAGTCATAAACAAACTCACTCATGTAAAGCTGTCAATGAAACTCAAAAGGTTGAATAAACAAACCGTATAAGGAGTTGTACCCTGCAAGCAATCACAATTCTCTGCTTCTTTACGAACAACGTCGAGAACAGAGTCAATAAGCTCTGCTCCCTCAGTGTAATGACCTTTAGCCCAGTTGTTTCCAGCTCCATTTTGGCCAAACACGAAGTTGTCAGGTCTAAAGATTCTTCCATAAGGACCAGAACGCAGGCTGTCCATGGTCCCTGGTTCAAGGTCCATCAGCACAGCTCTAGGAACGTAGCGACCACCACTTGCTTCATTGTAGTAAACGTTAACCCTCTCAATTTGAAGATGGGAATTGCCTACATAATTCCCAGTGGGATCAATCCCATGTTCATCACACATAACCTCCCAGAACTTGCCTCCAATCTGGTTACCACATTGACCTGCTTGAATGTGCAGGATTTCTCTCATGGTGAAATGTGAATTTGTGAAGGAAGAGAAATGAAGAGAGCTGAAGTTGAGAGGGGAAGAGTCGTGAAAGCAGTGAGTGGGAGGGGAAGGCCTTTTGTAGCTGCAAGAGTGGGAGGATGAGAAGATTGAGATATTGAGATTTTGTCTTTCTGTCAAATGGGAAAAAAAAAAATATATTGGTGGGCGTTCAATTAATAAGTTCATGTGGGTTTGTTAGGAGGAGGCCATGTCAAACTCCAAGCAGACTAATTAGCTGGCTATGGAAGGCGACAACAAGTTGCATGAGAGTTCCTGTGGCCTTATTTTCCTAATCTGAATTATCAGTTCTTCCTACCATATGATATCCCATCTGTCAATGGGATTCCGAATTGTCCTTCTCGTGATTTGGTCATCTGCTATTCCAATATGGCTGGACAATGAATTGTCACCTCTTTTCCTAGATTGCCATTGGTAGCTTAAAATTCCGTCAAATGGAGAATGGCAATAGAACAGTGGGAGAGAGAGATAGTGTAAAAGATTAAAAATTCAATTTGAAGGTTCTCTTAATATCGGTGTATGGGTTGGCAAATTTCCAAGCTTCCTTTTACTTAAAAATTACAAATTTACTCGCCAATTAAATTATCGTGGCTTTGCTGCCAGAGGTTCAAGCCAAGCAACTTGGTTGTTTTGAAAAGATTGCTTTCACCTCTAAACACAATAAACTCGAACGACGGGTTCTATTAATAATTCCCAAACTCAGGATAAGTATGTGAGGTAGGTGATACAAGGCCTCTGTGTAGAAAGAGAATCCGGATTCAATTATTGAAATCATCAGAGTTCGGTGGCAGCCTGTCTCCTTCTCAAAACAATAATGTGTGTATGGTAGTGATTGGAGAGGGAATCCTAAATCATTTCTTTTTAGAGGACAGATATTTATTCCATCGTTCTCAATGTTACAAGAAATTACAAGCCAGTGTGTCCGATGATATTATTTTAATATCGACTGATCAACAAAGGCTATAGGATTTAACTCGTGATGCTCTGTTGATAAGTGGTTTTCTAGTAATTAGTGACTGAGTTGGGATGTTCAATCCACAATAGACCACTCTAGACTTCAAGTAAACCAACTGAGTTTGGGGAAGTTTCATTTTCTCCGGGTCAAATCTTTACCAATAAATCTTTTTAAACCCACACGTATATAATTACTAAACAAATAATTGGCGTTCAAATTTGAAACATGTTCGAGTCTATCAGTTTGGGGGGGGGGGGGTTAAAAACAACGCAGCACCTACCACAAACATTGATCTATTGCCACTTTTGACAAGATGAGTAAGCTGACGAGCTTTTTCACATGTATGAAGCGTTCCAACATCAGTTTGATCACATCATGTTTTAAACGAAAATGACATGAGCAACATCATGACAAAACTTAAATCAGAAATTATTTCCTAAGTAATCATCAATCATCAAGTGGCTCAGAACAGACAACAAGCACCACAACTGACGCAGAAAAGCTCCCACTGAACTGTCACAAGAGGTAGCCAGTTGAACGCTCCTCAATAAAGCAATTCCTCATATACAGGATCTACAGATTGCCCCCACTTTCCATGATACAAATCCAAAAGCTTTTCAGCTGGTGTAACACCTGCCACAACAAATAGTAATGTACACAATACTAAACAACGCAGCAAGCAAACCATGAGCATTCTAAGTAAAGAACCTGCATTGTTTTAGAGGCGGGAAATTGAAGTTGATCGCTTTCTTTATTTCAAGTCTGTGTGCGCTCGTGTTTTTGTGTATTTTTTTATTGGGATGGGAAGGAAACCGGTAAATCAGTTACCTGTTCTAACCACCTCAGCAACCTCATTCAAGAAACCTGATTCCTTAAATCCTCTTCTTTCCAGTCCATCCTAAAGAAGTATAGAAGCGTGATTAATGAAAGAGATGATAACAAAGATAACAAAATAATGTCACTTACCTTAGAAAATTTCAGAATAACAAAATAACGTCACTTACCTTAGAAAATTTCAGAACATCTGTAGCGACATGCTTCAGCAAACCATCTCGGAATGGTGTCTTTAGACCATATTTGGGTACCTACCAGAACGAGCCTTTAAAGATCAGAACTCGATAAAAATCAAGAATGAACAATGATCATCAAATAAACAGAAGCTGTCATGTGTATTATGTAAATAAAAACTTGAACAACAGGCCTTGTAGCATGCAGCAGTCCTTATGAAAATGTATGAAACATTTCATAGGATGGGGAAAAAAAAATCTACTTATATATCTGCGAGAGTGAGTAAAACCAGAGAAGGGGCACTTGCATCAACATTCATGTTTAAACTGATATTTAGCCTACTAAATAGTGAGTTTGTGACGGCACAAGCTTGCATAGAATATGCAAGAGAACCTCACAGGTCATCAACCTCACGTCCACACCAAAAGATGTGCCTTTTTCAGTTTTTACAACGTTAAAACAACATATCACTTCAATGTGTGGTCAGTGATGAGAATCTAACTCGTGCACAAAAAGGAGGTTAGGATAAGAAAATCAAACAACCCCTTAAAATTGATTGAGAAAAATGAACTTTGCTAATGTTTTGACATTACCTTATCCCTTAGCATCTGCCTTTCTTCCGGGGTCCAATCAGCTGTCATATCTAAAACATTCTGTAGAGAAACCTCATCATACAATAAGCCTACCTGACATAATGAGCAAAATCACAATAAGTTCATGCAGCTGAGTCAAAGTAATTCATGAGTTGATAAATGAAGATGAAAATTCTTTTCCGTGCAGGCAAAGATTAATGCCTTGGTTATCATATATGAAAGATAAGACATAAAAATGTCATCGCTTTTTGCACATTAAGATGACATGTCATTAAATGGTTGCATGACATGGCTTCCAAGATTAGGCTGTATGATGGTCACATGTAAAACAAGACCAGAAATAATATGCACAAATAGTAAAGTGCTACCCACCCAAAATGCTGGTAAAGCACATAACCTTCTCCAAGGCCCTCCATCAGCACCTCTCATTTCCAAGTACCTCTTTAGCCTGACCTGAAAATAGTACAACAAAAATACAAAAATAATCAACTATAGAACAACCTCATAGATGCTGCCATACCATTGGATAAGCATCAGATAACGGCCAATTATGGAACAAACCTCAGGAAATATAGTTGTCAAGTGATTTTCCCAATCATTTAGTGTTGGCAATTCACCAGGAATGCAAGGAAGCTTCCCTTCCATAAAGTCCTGAAATATTTTGGACTTGAAGTGATCAATTCTTACCCCAAAAGGAGGATCAATTCTGCACCCTTATCAATGTGAGGCTTGAATATAAAAGAAGTGGTCAGAGAGAGAAGTTTTAAAGTAAAGGATGACGGTGCAACATAAGATGGCCTAAGATAATGAGAGAGAAAGAGAGAGAGATGAAAACCCTGAAGGTCATGCCGGTACAGTTGACATATTTCCCTTTCCGATAGACAAAATACATCGGAACATCTAGAGCATAATCAACATACTGCTCAAAGCTGCAATTGAAGAGTTCAAAAAGAAATAAGAATGGGTGAAATAAGATGGATAAGATTTAAAAGTAAGTACAGATATTAGTCACTGAAGAAGACAAGGCAATAGTATCATAACAATTTTTATTTTAAGTTCCCAACCGAAAGAGTTTGCGTTAACAACACAAATTCATTCAGATTCTTATGCTGCATATGAATATTAAAAAAAGAGTGAAAAAAGAAGCCATGAACTCAGCACATGAAAAATAAATTGACATACTTTTAGTGACAATCCAAGATGACACATTAAAAAAAAAAAAAAGGTATTTCAAGTAGAGTTGAACAGTAATAGAAATTCATTAGTTGCATATGAATGCAACTTCCCAAGGAAGAATTTAAATGATTCTTAGCTAGGGAAAGCCCCCCTTTAAACCTAGTCAAAAGTAACTACAAAGTTTAAGGAATGCACCTCCAGGCACTGATATTATGTTGATATTAAGATTGAGCATGCAAATGTTATTGTAGTGCATCCTACCATCCAATGCATGTAAGTTTGAAATAGATGCAATTTAATTTAGATTTGGACCGTCAATATAAAGGACTAGCTAAAAAAGGACTAGCTAAAGGCTTAGAAAATCTGACACGACTAAACAATTGCACTGTGTTTTCATGCCATCTTTAAAATTCAAGGCAAGTCAGAAGCCGCCTAGAGTCATTTTGCTTGGTAATTATAGTGATTCACGAGTCACAAATTATCTCAAATTATCAAACTCACCCAAAGGAGTCATCAAAAACAAATGGCAGCATCCCCGTGCGGTACTTATCAGTATCAGTCCATATATGGCTGTTCAAGCAAATAAGAACTGAATAAGATAAAGCAAGAATGCAAACTGCAGAGAATGGAAGGTGTCAACTATATGACAATTACCTTCTCATACTGAGAAGACCATTTGGCTTTCCTTCTGTGAAGGGTGAATTTGCGAAGAGAGCAGTTGCTATCTGTTTGATGTACAATACTAGTTATATCTCATATCATGTCACAAATTTCCAAAAGAAAGAAAAGATTAATGCTTCTTACAGGCTGCAAGGCTAGACCAGCACGAAACTTCCTAATCATGTCTGCCTCAGAACTGAAGTCTAGATTGACCTATAAAAGTAAAGCCTGAAATATATCAATATCCAGCATGAGAGATGGTTAAAATCTTGCTTCAGAAAATTTTATCATCACCACACCCGAAATAGGATGCCTTAGGAAATAATCAGCTCATAAAATATCATATCATAATCTCACCTGTACAGTGCATGTTCTGAACATCATGTCAAGCCCAAGGGAACCAACTTGGGGCATGTAATTTCTCATTATTTCATATCTTCCCTGAGCCAAAACACCCATGTAAGAGAGCAATAGAACTATGGAAGACCATTGTCAATGTTCAGTTACAGAGTGGAACTAGACCCACCTCCCTCATGTTAATTGCTTCACTATCAAGAGATGTTTAAAACAATCAGTAAGTAATAACCTTTGCATTAATGTAGAATAACCAATGATCCTAGAAGCTTAACCTCCTATGAACCTCCAATGATATATCTAACTCAATACACTGAGAGAAATT